TACAACAACAACACACACACACACACACACACACACACACACACACACACACACACACACACACATAAGAATAAATAATTTTAATAACAATTTAAATATTTTGTTTAATATAAAAAGTTCAACATAAAAATATCCGAATATATATTTAAAGTGGAAAATTTTACATTTGTTTGAAAATTGATATTAGAAATGGTAAAATATTTTAATATTTGCTCTAATAGAATACTTAAGATTGTCAATTTAATATTTGCTATAGATTGCTATAGATTGTCAATTGTCATTGTTCATAGAAATGTTATTGAACAATTGATTATTAATGAAAATAAAGTTACTTATTCATTAACAAATATAATATCAATCAATTGTTCTATGACGTTTATTCGGAGAATGTCATCGCATTAAAGAAAGACTATAAATTCTTGTACGATAATAAGTCAAGTATTACACCTTTTAATAACTAGCACATGTGTTGTAGCAAATATCTATGAAACTATCACTAGATTATTTTTTCCAATGAGTTATGTTATATGTTCGTAGGCACAGGAATACTTAATACTACCTTGCAGTCTTCTTGTTAAATGTTTTTACGTACTATATATCATAGCTTATGTTTATTATTGACTTTTTATATGCTGTTAAACGAATTTCTGTTTTTAATACAATACTATTTTCCTAATATTATAATATTATAATAATATTGTAATAATATTATAATAAATTTTACATTTTACATTTTATATTTCAAAAAATAGAATACAATTTAAATTTTTATATTTTTTTAAAATTGAATTTCAATAATATTTCTGGAAATAAATTATCTCTCTTCTAATAAGTGTTATTAGAAAATATAATATTAGGAAATAAAGAAATTATGATTTCTATTAGAAAGAGAAAGAATGATTTCAATTTTTCAATACTAACAAAATGACTTCAAATATTCTGTAACACACGCGCGCGCGCGCGCGCGCGCGCACACACACACACACACACACACACACACACACACACAGTAATTTGTGATCATACGAAAAATTGATATATTCACTTGGAAATCGTAACAAATCATATCGTATACAGTTTTTTTTTTTTTTTTTTTAAATATGAAGCTCACAACCTCAGAAGCTCTAACTCACATAATGTGGAGATAGGCCAAAGGATGCCAACTCCAACTAGCGCTACTATTCATAAGTGCAAATGTTCTATATTACTCTGCAAAACATTTCAAATATTCTAAGGAAGAATTAAATTTTTTTACAATTGTTTTAAATGATAGAAATGATATTACGTTCTTCAAATATATGATTCAAAGGTTTTATTTTATCTCGATCGTTTTATTATTAAAATTAACGGCAAAAGATTTTCGAGACTGTACAATGCCACTGAGCAGTGATGTATTTTGAATCATGAATCTTTACTCTTTTCGAATTTCTGGTTTTAATCCTCATACTTTTAAGAAAGATAGTGCTAGATAAAAGAATTAAATAAAATTATTTATTTGTCGAAATCAAATAAATATTTAAGTTACGTTAAGGTCTAAGTTATTATCGATAATTGCACACATTTGATCGATAGCATTTATAGATATTTGATCAGATACGTTGGTCGAACTGATTTCAGGCTTAACATTAACAATACTTTGCATCTGTTTGTCGTTTGAGTGACCTGCATTTTCTTTCGTCGAATCATGTATAGACTTTTCTACTTTTGAATCATCCACTAATCGCTCTTCTTCTTTGTAAACAGTAAGCTTTTCCAAATTAATCGAACATGCGGCTATCTTTTTTTTATCAGTCTTTTTGTTAATGATATCTTTTGTATCTTTTGTCGATTTGCATGTATCTTCCAAGAAGTTCTCTCGCGAACAACATTGGGAAGAACTACAGTGTTCTCCGTGACAACGAATTAAGCAGTCAGCCCTTTCTGTATTAGGTTTCATCTAATATAAGATAAAATTATCAATTAATAAAGTGACTTTAAAGATAAAAAAATGTATTAACGAAAAATCTATTTTACCTTTCGAAATTCTGGTTGTATAGTAACCTGCGTGATGCCTATTTCGACAAAAAAGGCAGTGACTTGTTCCGTAATACTAGCATAAACCTAAAAGAAGAAATATTAAAAAAACGGAAAATTAAAAGAAGAAAAAAAAAGGAAATTTATATATTTATTATATTTATTTATTTTGATTTAACTCAAAATTATAGAATAAAAAAACTCTTTTTCTTGGAAAAAGCTATTAAATTATTACTATTATTTTCGCTAACTACTCGTTAAGTTAAATAAATGTATAGTAAAAAAAATATTCTGCATACCATTGGATTCAAAAAAATAATATGAGCCGTACAAATTACTTGATGTTTTGCTAATTGCCATACATGTAAGTCATGAACGTTTACGATATCCGGAAAAGCTGCCAACAGTTCTCTTTTAAGGCAGTCGATATTAATATGATTCGGAATGGTTTGCAACAATATCAGACCTGATTCTTTCACTGTAAACAATAAAATAAAACAAGCGTATTCGTATTTTCATTTTTAGAAATTAAAATATTTTAAAATATCTAAGAAAATAATTTAAAATATCTAAGAAATAGATATTTGATATTACATGACACTATAGATACGTGCTATGCTTTTTACTTTTTACTTTGATACCATATATTTTTCAATCAAATCTAAAATTCAAATAAATTCTGTCAATTTATGTTATGTTATGTACAATGACAATCACCCATAATAAAATGAACATAACAAAGGAATCAATCGACAATCACGGAAAAACGATAGCAATCAACTTTAAGTATCAATATAACATGTTCTTTTTCAAAAGAACTTACAAATAATTATTAGTTTGTATTACTATCTGTCTACTATTTTAATTATTTATTATATAATATACTTACTGTATGGATAGCAAAGAGTGAATAATGAAATTGATGAAATTATGGCAAAAAGCGGATCAATATATTTGGCTACGTCGGAATTTGTAAAATATACTAAAACAGACACTAGTATGACAAAAATACATCCGAGAACATCCCGACACATTTCTCTTAAACCTTCACTTTTTGGTATCGCTAGCGGACTTCGCCTCGTCTGTGCTGACAGTTGCTGCTCACCATTTTTTGTTTCTTGCAACCTCACATTTCTAATGTAATAAATTTCAGATTATAATAGATAAAGTTTATATGTCTAAAATGAATTGTTTTTTATATTTTGAGTTGATTTTATTGATGTTTTTCTAAAGAATGAATTCTAAAGACCAAAAAGTGTATGTGATTTTAATATGTTTATGCGATAAAACAATGCAACGTTTCTAAACGATGAATATACGATATAAAGCATCTGAAAAAATATTTAAATATTTTATTCTAAATTATTGTGTTATTTTTTCATTTCTTTCTTATATAATTTGAATAACTGTTATAAAAATTCACCTGCATAATATTACATCACCACTTTTAGTAACGTGTAGGAAAATACCCTGATTAAAAGTAAATCCACCAATTAAAATGTAGCAAAAAGCATTTAGAAGAATTCCAGAAATGCCAATACACAGCACCGGCAATGGATGGTGCATTTCATCTAAATGATCGATGTGTACCAAAGTTTGTAGGGCTTCCATCAGCAATGAAAAACAAAAGGAGGCGAGAAACACATAACAAACAAGCATCGTAACTATGTCTATCCTAGCCCAACCAAATGTATTTTTCATCCTTCTGTCCGACCATGATTCCTGTAAAGCGTGTCTTTTTTATTTATAATTTTATTTATAATCATTAATCGACAAAATTAATAATAAGCTAGCAGCATTCGACATGTACAGAATAAAAATTTTATTTTTAAAAAATTATAGCAAAAATTTATAGCATACTCTATCTAATATAATTTTTAGCTAGCTTTTTAGAAAAATTGTTATTATTATAAGAGTCATGGAAAAATTTTATTAAAACTAAAGAAATTAAAAAGCTATTTTTTCTTTAATCTTTAAGTAAGTCTTAATCTTCTTTTGTTTAATTTCTAATTTATCATTTTAATTCTTTAAGTCTCGTTGATCATACCTTTGTTTTTGTTGATAAGGACGTGACAGAACTTTGTTCCTCAGCGTTAACACAGATAGACGAATTTCCCAGTGAACTGCAGTTACTATTGTTGCTATACTTTTCCCGATAACTATACTGCAAGCAATGTTTAATTATGCGTAAGTATAAATTTTTTTGTCATAAGGAAAATATCATTAAACAACACGTTGAAATTCTATTTTGATAATTTATTAAGATTATTTTATGATTTCTTATATATTTTTATCAGCTTCTTGCAATAATAGTCGCATGCGCGTTCACTAAGTTAACGATAAAGTGTGTTGTTATGAATCTGGTTCACTTATTGAAGCGATACAAATCTTAATACAAACTTTTTTAAATTTCTCTAGATTTCCCTGTACTTTTCTTTCAAGATATTTCAATATGAAAAGTTAAATTTTACGCGCATGAGATTTCTATTTGTTTTTGTAGACAGCAATACGTAGATAGACGTAATCAGTAACATTTCAATTTTATATAATAAGAGAGAGAAAGAATAGTTATTATATTTAAGATGCCTAAAGTTCTGTTTATACAAAATGTCTTATAATTATTAACATAACGCTCAAATGCGCTCAAGAAGTTCGACATTTGATAGTTCAACGTAAAATACAGTAGTAAGTATAAGAAACGCTATAATCTTCATTTTCTCTTAATTTATAACTCAACGATACGATAAGCTATGAATCAAAAAATTATAATATTATGCTTGTAAAAGAAATACATATGTGAATTATTTTGCAGGAAGCGCGCTTAAAATTGTTACATGAGTATCGCTGGGTCAAAAGATTAATATGACATCGTACTATTTTGTAAATGAAATTGACAAATGTGGACTTTGATGTGAATCGCACTCGCATCTTTCGCACTTACCTTGATTGAAGCAATACAACCGATAAGCGCTACAATATTGCAGAGCATGTGGTATGCGTTGAGAAGCAGCGTCAATGAGTGTGTTAAATGACTGGCGACGATCTCCACCAAGAAAAAAGCTGTAGCGAAGAATAACACCAGGTACAGTTGCACCGGTTGAAGCCTCCTGAACCATTCTTTCACAGCCATGACCCTGCCCGCAAAATCACACGGATGAGTATTTCTATTCTCTGTGTTGATATCGCATACATGGATAATCATTGTTATTTCACTGTCACACGATATTATCATCGTGTCGCAATTAAATCGTATCGTATTATCTTACAACCTTCGATTTTACATAAATTTATCTATAACAATTTGTAGAAAGACTTTGATATTTGTGTAAAACAAAACTTTACTATAATATTCGTCGCTATAAAACTCCATAGATTTTAGTCTTCATAGTTGACTTAATTTTTATTGAAAATTTTTGAAGCATACCAATTTGAAAATAGAACTATATAGCAAATAGAGAACGCGATTATTTTTCTATTTCATAAAAAAATATTTTTTATATTAATTTATATATTAATATGTAGAATATATTGAATCTATTTTAAGCGATGGTTAGTTGCATCTACAATTTATACGCAAACGAAAAGTGTGTGTGTGAATGTGTGAATTCAATTGAATAAGTGAATTGAAATTGTTCAATTCAAACATGTGCTTTCATTGGTGACTAAGAAATTAAATAGTTACAACACTTCTTTGTAATAATGATATATATATATATATATAGGATAATGATATATAGAAAAATAAGTTTAATGAGGGGAGATTATGTATACACTGTTTACAAGGTCTTTTTTAAATGATAAATGAATGATAAATTTTTATATATTATTTAAAAAGATAGAAATAAATGTATTGGAATTTATAGGATTCAGTAGAAAGATAAAGAAAATTCGTTAATATACGCGATCACTTTCAATTAACCACATATTTTTCATAAATAAATTTTGTATTTTTAATACAGTTTTATTCAAAATGCAATACATTACATATACACGTATTATATTTAAGCAGTAAGATATTGGAACTTTAATAAATAAATTCACAATTATTCCTGCTTCAAATATTTTATATCTTTTTTATAATTTTTGAATTGTATTTGAACACATCACATCTACATATTTACACTTATATAAATTTTTTCATTTATTTTTATTCACACATGTTAAAATGATTTAAATTCGTCCATTTAAATTTAAGATGCTTTATATACAACATACAGTTATTCAAACTCCAAAATTTACAATAAATCTATATAAAAATTTTAAGATCTCTTCTTGTCGAGAGATGTAAAGATTCATTATACGATATGGTGGCGAATAGCAAGGAACACTGCTTCTAAATGACCGATATCGCGTTCCTTATCGTTTAAACAACGTTTCACAAATAAGATTCACATAAAGGATCTGCAAGTAGATCGCTAAAAAGCGGACACTCGACTGAACGAGACGGTCGCCGAGCCGACAAAACGATATTGAAGCGGTTACGAAGCGGTTAGATGTAACGCGGTTGTAACCATTAAACCCGATAGGTCGAATCATTCCCTATCTGTTCGTGCTTCCGTCACGAGTTTTTCGCCCCTTAAATCAAAGATGTGACATTTGTTGCCATGAATCTTTCACAAAAATGATCGACAAAGTCACAAAACTATCATCACTCACTTTGCCAGATAATTTATATTTTATGGCAGGCACCATTCGGCACATCTGGATGTCGATCTTGACCTTAGATTCAAGTTCCGTGTATATAACGATAACTATTGACCACATGATAACTATTTATCAGGATACGCTTAAACCGACAAATAATTTTTTACTATCTCTAAAAAATTTGGTTCTACGATTTTGCAGAGTCTGTTTCTACCTTGTCCGAAAGCGCTGCCGAAAAGAACTCTCTCATTTATGCCGAACGTTAATGTGATAAAGAAGACAACGCAAGATCATCTTCGCGCATGGCGCTGACCTTCGACAAGACAATTTATATAATTAACTGCGCGTGCATCCGTTTAATCGTGGGCTGTTACATCGCAAACGTGCAATGAATTTCGCAAATCAAAAGACTATGGTGGCAAAAAATCAATTCATTTGATATATCATTTGATATATCATACGTAAAGTCGAACGATCGATTTCATCGTCATTCAAATATAATTACAAATATATTTGACTGATATAAATCAAAAGTAGAAATAAAAACATGAGCAATGTTTAAAACTATACGACTTCAATTTGAAAAGTTTATATCTTCTTAGATGTAATTATTATAGAAATATATTTAGAAATATTATATGTATATTATAGGCATTGCTCTACTATGACTGCAATCGATTAAGATCAATAAATTTCGTTAAAAAATGTTACGTATATTACATGTAAAATATTAATTTTTGCGTTTCTCATTGATCTCATCTCCTCTGTAGAAATTTCTAAATTATTTAATTAAAAAATTAAAATCCGATTGCGAAAGTGAAATGGAGAACGTATTGATAAGTCATTTCACCGTCGATTCAAATTTGACTGCGAGAGCGAAATGAAGAACGTACCGGCGGGTTGTTTCATCACCAATCTAAATTGAGTGTACAGGTTTTATGAGCGTACATCGTCGTAATGACACGCGCACATATCAACACGAACGAATACAATTCGCAGCATGTCATACATACACATTCGTCAGCTCTGTATTAGATTTAGGAGGACTATCAAAGCATTAGTTGCGAACATCCGGACGCGGTAATGAGCTTTGAACAACGAAATTCCCGCTCCTACGATCAATGTCATCTTGAATATTTAACGAGACATTGAACGTAAAAATGCAACAAAACTATCGGAAAACGATCACGCACTTATAAGATTGTTACATTCGCGTGATCCATTTTACGCGTTGGATCTCTTCCAACTCTCCAGTCAGGCAAACTAAAAGATTCTGAAAAATATTGCGCCATAATTATTATCTTATCGAAAGCTTCAGGCATATAATCTACAACAATAATGTAGTAGGAGGGACAGAGTGATGTTTCCTTAATGCGTTGTCATTTAATACATTTTTCAATTCACAGTATTTTAAATTTGCGAATTGACTGTGTGTCTGAAAGCTGATTTGGAAATTGTCACATGTAATTATTTATGAATAATTCATGATCCATACAAGGAAAATGAGTGATTTGCGTGTGCGTACAAACACATCAATTTATTTTAGATATCCTCTTGAAGAAACGTTTTATCATTACAATGATAAAAAGTTGTACTAACCTCTGAACTTAAGTAAATTAAGTTAAAGATATCTGTATCTTGGTACTGTTTAGAAGAATTATCACATTCTATTGACACATTTTGTATTACCTTTTACGAAATTCACACCGAAGTTTTTCTCAGGAAGAGTCGAAATCACAAGTACATCGTGGAGGCGAACTAACGTTTGTCTCTGACTACGCGTGGATTATATCGGTTGCCTATTGTGATCGCTATAAAATGTAGGTAGTAGCCGATAACTTGTGATTATCTGCTTGCATATCGATTAATCAAATAAAAGACAGAGTACGTCGTAATCATCATCAGATAATCATTGATTCATGGAGGACATTTGGAGGCTCAACGTCATGTCTTCCCGCTATCAAAGCTTCGATAAGCATTGTTATCATAAAGTTTCAAGAATTGAGACAACTGCATAACTTCCACAAACATAACTGCATAACTGCATTATTCTATATCTTCATGAATATATATTTCAATGCTTTGCTAAAATATATAAAAAGTAATAGCAGATGTAAATTTAAGTATTAAAAGTTTTTAAGAGATTTTTCTAAAGAGGAAAGAAGTAAAGGATAGTAAAGATCATTAATTGTTATCCAAAATAAATATTACATATAATTAATTAAACAAAAGTTAAAATAATAAAATGATAAAACCGAGAATATTAATGTTTTGAATTCTCTTTAAAAGCAAATTTAACAAATTTAAAGATGATATATGAATCATGGTATTATGCAAAGTGGTATTATGCAAAATTACTAAAAGAAATCTCTTTTTTTTATTATTTATGGTTTGCTTTATAGCTTTTAAGCTACGATAATTATATTACAATCCATTCGTCAAACAAAAGTGGAACTCGTAAATCGCGGACATATTATGGAATAATTAAACGATTTGAAAATTATTTTTTTAATAGAAAGTTGCGCATTAGCCTCGACATTATTTGTGCATGATTAATTTTATTTTACTAATGCACATATACAGCTACATTTTTTTCTGGAAGATAGTATTGTAAAATATTATGATATAACTGACTCGCCATAAAGAAAATTAAAAAAAGAATCGTGAGCATTAAAAATCTCATGTTTATGACATTTAATTGTCGTATGTTTTTCTCCACTCATACTCACAATCAATGATTATCGCATCGTATATGTATTTTCAATTGCATCTTTATTGATAAACGCGATGTAATTATTTTTCATATATTTATCTAAATATTTCATATAAGTATCGAATATATATCGAATATTATATGTCATACATGTATGAATAAATAAATATGAGTATTTCTATTATTGATTAATTTTATTAAAAAAATAACAATTTAAATTGTTTAATTTTAATTTTTATCATTTTAATTTTAAATTATGAAACTAAAAAAGTTTGTTTATATTTATATATTATATTTCTCTATTATTTATAAAAATTAAATATATATATTTTGATAAAATTCAGATAATTAAAATCTCATTATAATCTCTGTAATGTAATTAATATAATGAAATTAAGAATTAAATATATATTTTCTAAAATCACTGTTTTAAAGTAAGCAAAAGAATTCTTTCTCGCATCATTCGTATAGCGGAAAAACAATTTTTTTAAACAACTACGATATCTCAAAATTATTTTCTTTTAGTATCTCAAACACGTTTTATCTGAAAGATATATTTGATAACTTAATGGCATTTACCAGTGGCACTACCAGTTCTATTTTTAATAATTTCATTTCATTTTCACGCATATCCATTTCTTTATGAATAATTTGTAATGCAAAACACGTATATTATATCCATTGTTAAATAATATGTATAAAATTTTAAAGATAAATTCGTAGGTCGACAGTGATATTGGAGAATGAAAATTTTCCCAAGATTTTTTTTTTCTAAGCTCATATAAGAAGTTTAAAATTCAAATATATCCGAAATTGTAAGATGTAACATGTAAGATTTTGTAATAAATTCAAACTTATTTTAATTACCATTATTTTAATTACCATTTACGTAATTAAAATTATTACTTTAATTTGTTATTTTAATTTACTGTTTCGTCTGCGTGAAGTTTTAGCAGTTGGTTACTTTCTATCAAATAATCAACAAGAAGAGAAATGTTATAATTTAGAGATTGCTGTCAATTTCATGTAAAATAACGACATGTTTTACATAGATGTTATTATAGATATATTGCATACATGATTAAAGGTTGTTGAAAGTAAATATAGGAAATGACAATTACTCACGGAGGGAGTCTGAGTGACAGTTCACTTTCATGCATTTCTCCTGGATTTTTTCTAATTTTTTTTTCCTAGAAATTTATAAATCTGAGTTAGATACTTATCACATATTATTAGTTTCTATAATAAAAAGCATATTTTTTTGAGCTTTCTCAATTTTATAATTATCTTTAAGGAAATACAAATTGTATGTACTCGTACCGATTAATCTTAAAGTAAATCTGATAAATATAATATGATGCTATTTAAAGATTAGCTACTCAGACGATTGGAAAGTAATATAGTAATAATACAAAGTTTTAATATAATTCAGTATGCAGGATAAGATGAAAAATTATAATTACGATTAACTATATTGTCATGTACAAAAAATCGAATTTTCTATTAATTTCGTTTTTTAATTTCATTGTTTAACATCGAAAATATAATCTTTAGTAAGATTTTTGTCTTGTCATTATTGCATTCTAAAATATATATTTTTAGAGAAAAAAATATGTTTCTATGAATTTTACAAATATTGTAAAACTAATTTTCCTATCTAATGTTAATGAAATACAGTTTTCTGATTTATTTACGAAGTATATCAGGCACATACATAATCACTTTTCTTTATAGATTTTTCTTTATAGTATATAGAATATTTTGTCGCTTTCTTTTTTCAAAACGATACAAATTAGTCAATATTAACATTCATTTTATTTAGGTTTTTTTCTACAAAATATTTGTTATGTAAATTCCCACGTTTCTATTTCTGTAAAATTAATGAAAATCATTTTTGTGATTTATTGGATCCAGTTTTCTAAGATAATCCTTATCTACCTAATCTATCTAAATAAATTTGTATGTATGATTGATAAACGCATAGATTCATAAATCTGCTCAAATGCGGATATGATCATCTCCTAATCATATCCATTTAATTTATAGCTTTCACACAGGTGATTTTCATTCATTTACAATTTGTAACTTCTAAAATCCATATCATAATCAACGGATATAGTGAAAAATAGCTCTGATATGTGATTGATACGTGGCACCAAGAGATAGTAATAAACTTACCTAATATAATATTCCTTGTCCAGATATGGGTAAGAAAAAGACAAAACAATACTCATCCAAACACGCATTTCTTTCAGCAATGAAATTTTTATATTTTCTTGCATCTTTGCGCGTCGATCTCTTCTACTTCGATCATCTTCCCAACGATGATGTTCGCTTCAACAACGTTATACATATCGTATGACAAGGATGTTATGAGACATTATATGCACGTTATCCTCCTTTTCACCGTTATTAAGACCGAGAAAAAATGAGGAGAGACTACATACGTAATCAAACGTCGACAATCTGCAGTAGCGAATAACTTGTCTTCACTTACTTCGACGATTCCGCTACTCTGACAAACTCGCGCAGGATCGAATAGCGAAAGTAATTGTGACTGATTCTGCGCATCCAACTTTGACTAAAATTAATTAAAAATCCAATTAATTAAATAATTTTTTTATAATATAAAAGATTTAAAAGATTTAAAAAACTTAAAATTCTTGATGTTACATCACTAAAATTATTTTTAATTGAAAAAAATTTTAAATAAAAATTTATACTACTAAAAGATATTTGAATATCGATTAGAATGTTTTTAAAAAATATATGGCGAATGTAAAAATATTTTTAGTACTCCAAACAGGAAAAATATAAAATTACGAAGAAATAAGGTTAGTTTTATATGTAGCTAAAGATTAATCATTCCAAAAGAAAAAAGAAGGAGATATATTTTACATTATTATTGAAAAATTATTTTTTTATAATACATATTAAGAACATAATATTATATAAACATGTTTTTTTAATTATTGTTTTGTTGTTTACGTACCAGGATATAAATAGGATTATAAATCATGTAACATAATATTATACTTAAACCTTTGCATGATGTAAATTATTAATATTTGTTTATATAGAAAAAAACTTTATCTTGAGACAGAAATAAGTATTACAGATTTTTAAATATTAAAGACAAATTTGATTTTCAGATTTATGTAACATGTTAGAATTTAATAATAACAAATTGTAAAAGTTTATAAAAGAATTTATTAAAAATATAATTATATTATATTAACAGTAAATATATGTATAAAAGAGAATAACAGTAAATATATGTATAAAAGAGAATATATTTTATTACATATTTTATAGATCAATTTGATCTTGAAACCGCTTTATATAATTTAAAATTTACAATAGAATCCGTGAGAGATAGAGTAATGTAATTTAATTATATATGATATACAGAGTGAAATAGATGGTCTCAATAGTTTTATTTTTCTTAAAGATACAAAAAAATCATATAAACATAAGGAAATTCATAGTTCTCGAGATATAAATACTTTTTAATGAAGAATATTTTAGAAATTCTTAAAACTTACTTAAAGAAATTATTTAAAATGATTTCTTTCTGCAACATATGTTTTACATCAATGTTTCAGAGATTATCAAAAATGTTCAAAAATTTTGAATTTTTTTATATACGATAATAACCTGTTTTTTAAATGTTTTCAGATTATCAATATTATAATAAATTAAACTTTTTAGATATTCCCAAAAATAAAAATCTAAAGAAATTAAATCAAAGGAGAGTGTAAAAACATTGACAGTGACTCGTAATTCTATGTGCGACAGCTATTTATGAAAAATTGCAATTTTTCGAAAATTTCAAACACAAAATGTGTTTATATCTCAGAAAGCAAAAATTTTCAGATTTATGTCTATATAATCTTCATTAAGAAGAGTAGAATATCAAAATAAGATCACCTACTTCAATGTTATTCTATATACAGGGTGATTCAGAACAATTGTTTATTTCAAACAATAGTTATGAACGAGTCACTTGAAGTAAGCAATTCCTCACGCGCCTATCAATGATGATCGCCGGGCGGGAGTATCTTACCGCGCGCTTGCATTTGCCGGTGGGCCGGGCTAATACGGTGATTTGTAAGAATCAGGAGACACGGTAATGTCTCGTGTGTCAAGTCAACCGAGAACTACCGTGTAACTTACGCAACTCGGCGAGATGCGAGCATCCGAAATTATCGAATCTCAATAACGACTAAATTGATCAAGTTCTAAGGCTTGATCGATAGCTTGAGTCCGACTTGCATAATAAAAGTATTTTATTTTCTGCCCTACAAGCAGAGATATTGCTACGCAAAGTCCGATTTGGAAATTTTTACTTTAAGAAACGTCATTATTATCGTCGCCTTTGTACGGCTGGAACATCTGTCACGAGATGTCATTATTAATCTTATCGACCTAGCGGATTATCAGACTGATAAGTCAGGGTTACTGTAGGAGCTAGCGAATCAATGTTCCTGCAGTGACCCTGACTTATTGATCAGATTTATCCGTTGGATTGATAAGATGATTGATTGATGTAAACATGTAATGTTTTTGGTTGTAGACCTCTCGGGTATCAATATATATAATAATAAATACGCGTGTGTAATAAATATATGCGTGCATTGAAAAGGAAACATTAGCAGTATTAATAAATTGCTTACTACTATTGCATACTATGCTTACTCTTTTTCTGCACCGAGTGATAGCCAACGATGTTGACGTTCGCGGCGAGTTTGATAGTTTGTGATAATTTGTTTCGGAGTGTAAACTCATATTTTTGTCTACTATATTTTGCAGGTAAGTTCTATTTTTCATTTTATTATTTTATTTTTACGTAAACATTTCAATTCACTTCAGATTCTTTTTTAACTAACTTCTTTTTAAAATTTATAAACATTAATTGAATGGCAAAGATTAATGTTTAGAAGAGTAGGAATCCAAGTTGAAAAAATTTTATAATTCTTCTATTTCTTTTTATGAAAAAAAGATATTTATTTATTTCAATGTTTTATGTTTCTGTTTCTTGCAGGTTAAAATATATAAAAGTTACATTACTGTTATTAATGTTTAATAAACGATATCCTAAAAGGATCTGATATGTATGGGTGAATGAAATCTTCTAAATTAATGATGAAATTAAAATATGGCTTTAGATAAGTATAAAAATATACATAAATGTTACCATTTTATTATATGAACATTTCAAGTTGATGTTATCTAGATATATTTATTCATATACATATCTATATAATATAAAATAATTAATTTTATCTAAGTGTGGTTGGGAAAAAATGCTAAAATTATTTAATTATTAATTGAACGACAAAGAATAAAGTTCAGAAAAACCATTTTACATAAATGTTTCAATTTGGATTTCGATTCTTTCTAACTGTTTCTGTAAGTTGTGTAATTATTTTATTTCTTTTTATGAAAAAAAGATATTTATCCATTTTATTGTAACGTTTTTTTCTTCTTGCAGATTTAAATAAAAGTTACATAACAATTATCAATGTTCAAAAGAGATGTTAAATAATACTCTAAAAGGATCTAATATGTGTATACAAGAAAATAATGTTTAAAAGAGACATAAACAATACTCTAAAAGAACATGATATGGGTGAATAAAATCTTCTAAATTAAGAGCTAAAATATGGCTTTAGATAAGTATAAAAATATATATAAATGTTACCATTTTATTATATGAACATTTCAATTTGATGTTTCTGGATCATATTCATATACATATTTATATAATATAAAATAAGTTTTATCTAATTGTGGTTGGAAAGAAATGCTAAAATTAATTAATTATTAATTGAACGACAAAGAAATAAGTTCAGAAGAATAGGGAAGCCAAGTTGAAATGTTAATATTAACATTATCATTTTATATAAATGTTTCAATATTATATTAATATTAACATTAACATTATTCAACTTGGCTTTTGATTCTTTATAACTGTTTCTGTAGTTGTATAATTAATTGATAAATTTTGTAATTCTTTTATTTTGTTTATAAAAAAATATTTATTTAACGTTTCTTGCAAGTTTAAATAAAAGTTACATAAAAATTATCAATGTTCAAAAGAGATGTCAAATAATACCCTAAAAAGGATCTAGTATGTGTGTACAAAAAAACAATGTTTAAAAAGAGACATAAACGATAAAAGAACTTGATATGTATGAGTGAATAAAATCTTCTAAATTAAGGGCGACATTAAAAATATGACTTTAGATGAGTATAAAAATATATGTAAATGTTCCCATTTTATTACATGAACATTTAAATTTGATGTTATGTAGATTTTCCCACCACAGTTGGGGGTCTTAAAATATATTAAATTTTAATTCAAACTGTTTTTTATTTGTCTGTCACATAATTTATTATTATGAAAAGTAGTTTTAATGCGACCCGGGCGCACCAAATTTTTGTACGTCGTTTTTTGTTCTTACATATCAGATTTTCTTTTATATTTTATTTTTATATAAACACAAATACAATAATTCAATAAAATTTTTTTGGCAACTACAAATTGACATTAATTTTGGATTGATAACATCTTTTTTCACCTTTGCAAAATTTCTTTTTTACTTTATATAATTAAAAGTTTCTGCCAATTTTTAATATCATGTTTTTTGTAGAAATAATGAAACGATTTTTCAAAATAAAAATAATTACAAAAATAAATATATTTCAATGTAAAGCTCTTTTTATAAATTAGAAGTTAGCGCCAGTTCTTCTTATCACATCCCAATATGAAATTTATTATTAAAAAGATTTTTGTAGATGGAAATTTTTATATAAAATTCTTTTACATAAATAAGAAAACGGGCGTGTGAACTTGGCGTTATTTTTTATTTTTTTTAAAAGGTAATTTTATTAGAATATCACTCATATTTTTACAATTTTTAACAAATAGTATTTATTATTTAGCATATTTGAAACACTTTTTTATTTTATATATACTAGAAAAACAATCAGTATTTAGTTATTATTTTTTAATAATCTTTTTAAAAAAATATATACACATTTTTTGCTCCGTCATTTTTTCTTGTTAATTTGCGCATCATCAATGTCTATTCATCCATTAGACGTTTCATCTCTACATGTACTTGTATAATGACTATCTTCAATAGATGATCCATGATGAAAAATCATTACCTTAAAATTGTCCCCCTACTGATATTGTAGTTGTTGGTACTGTTGGCCAACAACTACAATATCAGTAGGGACACACACACACACACACACACACACACACACTAAAGTTAATTAAATTTTATAGTATATTATTACACACACATGTCCCACTTAAAGTGTTACAACTTAATAACTAAAAATATTTGTCACACTTAAAAATCGTTCATAAGAAAGTTTTATGTATTCAAGGAACTTTTCTAATTACTTAAACAAAAATTCGCTCCGTCTCTTCCTTGAAGAGGGACAGGCGGCAATTTCATAACTTCAAACGTAATCTCCCATAAATTGTTACATATTTAGATTCTACGGGAAAAAGAACAAGTTCTGAAACATTTTTTTGAAAAATGCTTCTATCAAAAATTATAA